AATATACTAAAAAAAAGTCAGCACAGCAACAAAGAGAAAATGGAAAAATGACCAAATTGTTTTATAGACACTTCACCAAAGGAAACATTCAGGTGGCTAACAAACATGAAGAGATGGTACCAATATTCAGCTGTGAGAGAAAAGCAAATCAAAACTAGAATGCAATATAATTCACCCACTCATTGTTGTTGAGTTGGAAACTACTCAAAGTTGACCCTCCAGCAGATTTCCAAGATTAAAATGGAGGAGGAAATTGCTTTCCTTTCTCCCTTACATTCGAAACACTAGAGGTACTGCTCTAGGTTAGCTATGCAATTTTCAATGGAGTAGGCCACTAGAAATCTGATTTGAGAAACACAAATGAAAACGAAAAAGTCGTTGCAAAACTATAATGCAGATCAAAAGTACAAAACAACACTGATTTTGAAATTAAAATATAGGAAGCTCTGGTGGTCTAGAGGCAAGAAGCTACACTGCAATCCCGAAGGCACACGCTTGGAATCGACCAGATGGTCCACTGGGGGAGGAGGGGAAATCTCCTCCCGTGCCAGTTTGATCTGATTTGATGATACACAACAAGAAAAGGGGGCGGGGGAGAAGAATGGAAAACAAATAATCTAAAACAAACGGTAGCAACGTTGTAAACAGATTAAAACTCGTCAATATAGTTAAGGGATAGAAATGATATAAATGCTATGGAAAATGAAATGGTACACTACTAGTGTGAATGTAAAATGGTTCAACTACTATGGAAGGCAGTTTGAGATCTCCTTTGAGAGTTGGAAATAGAATTTCATTTAATCCAGCAACTACATTAGTAGGTCTATGACGCCATAAAAGAACCACAACCTGAACAGATACATCTAGGTTCACTGCTGCATTATTTACAATTGTAAAGAAATAGACACAACACAAGTGTCCTTCAATGAACAAAGAGATAAAGAAACTATGGAATGGATACAATGCTACAATAGAATACTATGCAACACAAAAAAGTAATGAAGAATTTGTGGAAAAACTGTACACCAGGGACAGATCTAAAGAATCTTTTTGATAAAGACTTTTGATAAAGTCTTTTAAGATTTTGATAAAATCTCACTGAGAGCAAGCTGGGTGCAGAGCGAGCCGGGTGCAGTGAGCTGTGCAGGACAGATGGAATTTGAGTAAGAAATACTATTAAAATAATTAGTTTGGGAGCCTCAGCAGGAAGCAGTGAGGCTCAGCAGGGAGCAGTGTGCCTTGGTGGGGAGCAGCATGCCTGCACAGGGATCAGCGACCCTCTGTGGGGAGCGGTGAGTGGTGGTGGGACCCACCCACCAGGAGCAAGCAGGACAATGGGAATTTGAGTGAAGTACTCAGTGGGGAGACCACTACTGATTGCTGGACCAGTTATGGGACCTCTTCACCTTAAGCAGGAGGCATATAAAATTCTGCAACAATAAAAACTAAAATTTGTGAATGATTATATAGTTGGTATATGCAGGCAACTCAATGGTATATAACAACATATGTGCTATATAGGTATGAGAGGGAATATGGGAATGGGAATACATACATGTATAGGTGTGGCTGTCAAGTTGCCTATGACCCTTATGAACAGGAGCTCTGTACTCTGTCCTGTGCCATCCTCATCATCTCTGATATACTTGAACCCTTTGCTACAGTCCATCTTTTTGAGGGTCCCTTTAAAAGTCCTCTCTTGCTGTTCCTCCACCATTGCAAGCATATCTTCTTTTCAAGGCATAGGCTCACTTAACAACATGCCCGAAGTATGTGAGACAAAGTCTCAGCACCCTTACGTCTAAGGAGAACCCTGGTTGTACTTTCTCCAAAACATATTTGTGTATTCTTCTGACAGTCCATGGGATATTCAATACTCTTCTCTAACACTACAGCTTTTAGATGCACAGTAAGTAATAGGAAAAGACCATGGCTTAAATCAAGTACACATGAAAGGTTTCGGATCGAAGCTAATTAACCAAGCCGAGGCAGAAACATTTCTGAGTTTATTGCATGGCAGGCAATCTCAGTAAGTGGAGTAGCATTGGGGGTTGGGCTTAGGGCATCTATATGGGGTCATTGCAGTGGCTCATTCACACATAAAGTTTCTTTCTGGTCTTGGGAAACTGGTTCTGAGGAAATGTCCTGACATAGAATTTTCTGAGTTCTGGTTTCAGAAAAATGTCTTGACATAGGATTTCTGAGTTTTAGTTTCAGAAAAAATGTCCTGACATAGGATTTCTGAGTTCTGGTTTTAGAAGATGTCCTGACACAGGGATTTCTGAGCTGAGCTTCAACTTCCATTTTTATTTTTAGCCTAACACATGTTAGTCTTTAAACTGTTATTGTTGCTCCTTAGAACTTTGAAGATGTCCATGACAGTAGATTTTACCAAGGTGACAGGTAAATCTGATTTCTTGACTAATGGTTATGGACATTTGTATATGTGTGGCATACATAGGGTGCACTCCTTAGTCACATACAAACACTTTGTGAGATTGAGTTACTCTCTTAACAACATGCCCAAAGTATGTGAGACAAAGTCTCAGCAACCTTACGTCTAAGGAGAACCCTGGTTGTACTTTAAATGACAAGGCCTATCAACTCCAGAGACATTTAGGTCAGTTGATTCAACATAATTCATAAAGAAAATGTTCCAAATTCTAGTTTGGTGGGTAGGGTCACCTAATATACAGCTACTGAGCTCTTTCCTTCAGGAGCAAAAGAACGTGAAGTGGTTACACTTAAACCTATAGTGTCATGTTTCTATTTTGAAAATGCAAAACTATTTTTCTCAAAGAAATTGTCTTGACTAAACTTACTAGAACCAAAAATTAATCATCTACATTTTAGAGGCCTGAAGAAAATGCTACTTAAATACAAAACAAAACCCCAATGTAATAAACTGAAAAAGACCTTGAGATGCCAAACATCTAGGATAGGCTTTTTACTGGAAGAAAACATTTGAAACAATCCAGTTGCCCTTCAATTTACTGAGAACTATTTAAGAACTTGTTGACGAAAGATGGACAATGTCCTGTGAAATTTTACTGCCTCTAAAACCCTCTGGAGGGTCAGCTATGAGTCAGTTCCAACTCAAGAATACATAATAACATGTAAGAAAGAAGTTCTCAAACACTTAAGTGGCATCCCATTTACTTTTTAGAGAGGTCTGGTTTGTTAGTTCATAAGAAGTTGTGCTCATAACAAACGGCTAAGCCTTTCTAGCAGTTCTATTACACCAGCGGATCCTCAGAAGAAAGATGAGGATTCTCTTCTGGTTCGATTTACAGCCTCAGAAATCCAATGGAGTCAGCCAGGAGTTGTCTTGAGCTACTTTTTAGAATTCTCTACACCCAATTATTTATAAAATAGCCTCTTTGCCCAAAAGACAGGAGGACAAATTTAGTTTTTAAATAATGCATTTGTGTGTGTGTGTATGTGTGTGTGTGTGTGTGAGTGAAGGATTTCATACCCGATTTGGGTATTTTATTACAAGTCACCTTGGACAGAAGCAAAAACCAAGTTAAGATCCTTAACATCCTTCCTTGCGACAAAAGTACAATGCAATATGACATACAGCTTAAATAGAAACCACGTAGGGTGGCTCTTGTACGCTAAAAAACGACGGATCTGACTTCTAGTGTAACCTTAACCTCTGTTGTAACTGGGCAAATTGCTCGAGTAAAAATGGGTGCAGGACATAGAATGTTGTGACTGAGTCAAGTTAAGGTCAGTTAAACTTTTTCAAAAGCTCTCTTTCCAGACACAGGTATATGAGATTCAGCCACCCTCTCATAAACCCTGCGCTTAAGCCTCCAGTCTACCTCCGCTTTTAGGACCAATATGGTCTCCTTACAAAAGAGCAGAGTTCTTTCAAAGTTAACCAGTGGTTCTTTGTTCCCAAAAAAAGGCTAGGCAAGGGTTGCGAGGCCTCCTCCGGTCGTGGGAAAGTAGAGACGAAAAGATAAGAGCTTTTCTCATCAATTCACCCACCCGACTCCGCACAGCAGAGCCAGCCCAGAAATGAGCGCAAGCCCCAGATTCCCAGACACCGGAGGCGCACGTGCGCGCTCGGCTGAGAGCCCGTGAAGGGGCGGGATCGCGGGCGGTGTCCCGGCAGAGGACCGATGGAAGCGACTACGAATAACCTCCGTTCTAGCCGGCGCGGGTGGAGGAAGGGTGGCAGCCACACCCGGAAGTCGGTCTGTTGTGGGGGCTGGGGGGAGTGGTAATGGCTGAGACTTCCGGTGGCGCACAGAGTGTCGGGAGCTGCTCCCAGAAAACCTCCTCTGGTCTCCGGAGGGTCCGCCGTTGCTACCGTTCTAGCTTTACCGATCTTCGTTCGGGATAAACGGCCGCAGCGGCCGCCACTGCGATTCCCTTTGCGCCTGACTCTTGTCTGTGCTTTCCCGCAGGTGGCCCCTGCAGTTCCAGCCGCGACCACGGCCGACATGTTGTAAGGCAGCGGCGCGGGTATCTGAAGGATGGTTTGGCCGAGGCGGCGGCAAAGGCTGCTGGCGCGGGCGGCGGCGGCGGCGGCAGCGGCGACTCGGGCTCTGTAGAGCCGAGTCAGCTAGGCGCCCGTCCGGTACGGCGGCGAGGCCAGCGTCCCTGGATCTTGTCTGTGCTCCGGCACCGTTGGGGACTGTGCAGGCGGTAGCTCCCGCCCCTCCGAGGAGGCAAGAAGGTGATTCCCAGCCGCTCGGATTTCCGAACCACGCCGTTTCCCCTTGTCGGCCGGGCCAGTGCTGTCCCCAGAGTACTCAGTCCTCCGGCTTTCCTCCCATCCTCGCCCTCCGTCTCACACACTCGGGGCTTCCCGTTCTTGTCGAGCCAACTTCTCCTTCCCCCAATCCCTCGAATTCTGCATCCTCTACAACGAGCGCCTCTCCGGGTCACTCCGACGGCAGCCTTTTGAGAAATCTCCCGGGAATCGTGGACCAGACCTGGGGAGTTTTTTTTAAAAGTCAGGCGCGAGAGAGAGGATTGATTGTACGATGGCTTCCTCTTCTGGCAACGATGATGATCTCACTATACCCAGAGCTGCTATCAATAAGATGATCAAAGAGACTCTGCCCAATGTCCGGGTGGCCAACGATGCCCGGGAGCTGGTGGTGAACTGCTGCACTGAATTCATCCACCTTATATCCTCTGAAGCCAATGAGATTTGCAACAAATCAGAAAAGAAGACCATCTCACCAGAGCATGTCATACAAGGTAAGTCTTACAGAGGGGATTTGGTTTAACACGGGGGCCGGGAGACAGCCTGCTTAGTCGCTCGAGCCGTGTGTGTCAAAGCCTTCATTCTTGTGCATTGGCAGGTACTGTTAGTAACGTCACAGGCAAGGAGGCAGCAGGCATCTTAGGAAAATCCCACTGTAGACCCTCGTGCTTTCATCCAGACTTGCCTTGGCCGTAGCTGTACCTACATAATGACAACTGAGAAACTCGGCAGCTCTCCCTTGTTATTATGTGGGGAACCGCCTCATAGCTGACGCTCCAGCTGGTTTTCAGAGGCAGGAAATCGCAGGGGAGGAGGTTGTCTGTCTTCCCTTCCTCTCGCGGAGCCGCTGGTGGATTCGAACTTGGATCTTTGGGTTGGAAGCGCAATTCCTTACCACTAAGCCGCCTCCCCTAGAAAGTTAAAAGCGTGGAGACAGCACGTTTTGCCCCACTCCGCCTGTTCACTAAGGTAGAGGGAAAGCTTAATATTCTGAACACATGACTTAAAACGTGCTCAACAGGAATGTTTTCTGACTGGTAAAGTTCATTGATGTTCAGGACTCACATTTTTGCTTTAAATTTTACATTCATAAGTTCATTGAGTTTCCAGAAATTTTTCGATTCCGTTATGTAAGGAAGAAAGTGAGTGTTCTCATATCGTTCAGTGAAATGTGAATATGACTAAAAACTTGCATTGAAAGGTTGTGAGAGACACTTTTTTTCCCCCTTAATGGAAAGTTTCTGTGTCCTTACCTGCTGTGATTCCCGTTTTGGTGGGGGAGTCTTCCAGTGAATAGCACTTGTGAAAATTTTTTAATTTTTTTCTCATTTTAGAATTTAGCCTAGTATAATAATGGGAATTTGGCGGGGGTGGGGGGCAGGCAAATTCTGATCGTTTCTGGAATGGGGCATGTTTACTAGTCTTAATATTTTGGAAAACACTTTCTGTGAATTTTTTTTTTTTACATGTACTATTTACACATAGTTGGATTCAACTTTGATTGGTAATTTGCCTTAAAATTTCAACAGTCTCTTGAGTGCTTTTGAAGCCTAGGGTAAGGGATGGAGTGGGAGGTGTAGGGATGAGAAGCTATCCTTAATGTAATAATTTTCATAGGCAGATACTGTCATTACAGTTTTATAATGAACTTTTTTGAAAGGTGACTACAATTCCAGCAAGTAGAGAACACATAGGCTCATAGTCACTGTATCCAATATTTTACTGTCAGTATTGACAAAAGAATTAAATGATTCCGTTTTGGTCCGTAATGATCTGCTTATGGTAGATTTAAAGCATACTCTGCCATTTCAGGATATTTTAGAATTCTAAAAGCTAATAGCTTACATTTTTTCCTACTTTTTTGATGTGCTGAATTACTCTAGCAAATACAATTAAAGCCAAGTTGTCTATTTTTCTGTGCTTTTATTTTTATGTTTTGTGTATGATTGCTGTCATTTAATCTTTCACAAGAGAATCCCATGCAGGTAATAAAATTTCATTTTGCAATTCAGCATTGCTTTTCTAATGAAAATGCATTATTTCAACAGGACCTTCCTAAACATTTGTTTGCCCCGCAAAAGCGGGATAGTTCCAAAAATATAATAACATGTTACAGTCTGTCTTCTTGGGGAGAGTTTATTCTATTATAGGGTATATTTAGATTTCTGACTAAATTCAATGTAATAGATGAGTCAGAAAGTTACACAGAAGCTGTATACTGAGCCTGAATTTTTCTTTTAAAAATATCATATATAGACCTATTATGGTTTTGTAAATTTAACTTTTTTCTTTCTCCACTGTGCAGCATTACTTTTGTCAAGTGGATAAGGGCTCATAATTTTGCCCATTAATTCTCTTCCCCAATATGAATAATAGATATTTTAAATTTATAATTTCTTATTAAGCCCATGTTACCTAATTATTTTAAGAAATTTTTATTATGCATTATTAAGATCTCTTTAGGGAACTAGTTAAGGTTTGCTTATATTTTAAGTGTTTTAAGGTATATTTTGAAAAACTATTGAGAAATAAAGGTATTTATGACTTTTGTACTTTTCCATCAACACTGAATAAAGTTCAAGTTGAGGTCATATTGTTGCCGTTTAATGTATGAAATTCACCATCGTAGTTATTTTTGTTTTAAAAATATTTTACTTGTGTTCGACAAGGATTTCAGATTTCAATATCGAATTCTAAGCTCTTAAAGATTTTTTCCTTTCTTTGCTGTTTTCTTTGAATATATATTCCTGAGTAAGTTCTTATATGTTTCTTGTATTATGAGACAAATTAACATTGAGAATCAAGAGCTGCAGACTATACACTGGAAATACATTGGCCTTAGGCAAATCCATTAACAATGATTTCACCATAATACTTAATGGTTTCAGGTGCAGTTTGAAATTATTACAAATCAGTGAGGGCTTGAAAGGTTGGAATCTTACTAGATATAATCTAAAAACATGTAGTGATACTGTTTTTCAGCATCAGTGGAGTCAGAACCAACTCATAGCTAATAACCCTTCAGTGGTTTTCAGAGGCAGTAAAATGCATGGGAGGAAATTGCCTATCTTTTTCAGAGAGAGCAGCTGGTGGATTTCAACTGATTGCTTTTGGTTTGTCAACACAATTCCTTGCCACTAAGCCACCAGAGCGCCCTAGTGATACTGATTAGACTATAAAACTAATGGTCCTTTACATTTAATCTTTACATCATGATGGCATTTTCAAAGTGAAAGTCAGAATGTTTGCCTGGTATTGTTTCCCTGCATTTTTATTCTCTACTTCTCCCCCCCCCCCCCAGGCTTAAAAGAATAGTAACTGAAAGTAGTGAAAGTTTTAAAAGTCTCTGAGAGTAAGTTTCTACGCCTTTTGTGTTGCACCATGCTGTCTGCAGTGTAGGATTGCCCCCACCTTCAGTCATTTTCATACTGGTACTTTCCTAAAACACCGTTAAAATGGAGCAATAGAAAAATGAAGTGGAAAAAATACATAATTAAAAAATACATATAAAAAAAGTCACTTGGCAAAATTTGTTCTGAATGTTCTTAAATGCTAGCTTTGAATTAACTCATACCCAGCCATTCAAGGCAATTCTAGGACTAGTCTATGAATCACACTCTTAGTAACTTTTCGCCAAAGTTTAAACCACAGTCTATTTTGGAAAGTGATGATGAGGTAGTTTTAGAATTGTGGTGGCATCTCTGATTGCAGAGAAGTTACAATAATAATGAGGACGATGTATTGTATTGCTTAAATAATATGCAGTTTGGTTTGGGGGAGGGGGTTTAACTCCAAAGAGAAATATATAATTTACAATTTGTCTCAGTCAAGTAGGGTTTTACTATTATTCTTAAAAGTTGTAAATTTTTTTGTTTTGGTTTTGGTTTTATTTTCCTTTTGCCAAGTAACATTTATTGAATGCTACTGAATACTTGGTACTGTGCTCTTAAGGATATAAATGTGAATGAAAATTGATATTTGCTCATGAATGATAATTGATTCTTACTCTGCCATTGGTCTGTCGTTGTTGCTTTGATTCCCAGCAGTAAATGCTGTGGAAGATAGAGGCCTTAAGGCTTTTAAGAAACCTTTGGCAAACTAATGACTCAAAAAGCCATTAATATATTTAGGCTCTTAATATATTTTAAGTTATGTGTTTGAAATATAATGTAATTCATACAGATTCATATAATAGCAATACATTTCAGGAATTTATCACTTTTGTAAAAGAAGATAGGACTTTATTAAAATTATTGTTGCTTAGGGGAAAATATAACTTTTACCTTTTTAAAAAAGTACCTGTCTTGTTAGATTCTTTATTAAATTGAAAGAATGTCTTCAAAATAATCCTCCTGCCTCTACCCGTAAATATACTATGGCTTTCGAAGTTATTCCCCTACCTTTACTCCTAAGCATACTATGGCCTTTTCTGGGTTGTTTTTAAGACACGTAGTAGAGAGTGGCAGACATGTATCTAGAAAACAAAAGATGTTTGTTTTCTATCTGCCTCAGGAGAAAAATCCTAGTAAGTACACTTATCTGGATTTTTATGGCCTGAATAAACCCTGCACATATGGTACTCTTATACACTGAACAATGTGTACTACCACTGACCTTGCTTATATCCATTTCCTTTCTGAGATTCTCCTTTTGTAAAGTGGAAATAGTTTAAAATGATGTTCAGTATCGTATTTTGATGGTGTAATCTAGTTATTGATACCTATTAGCCAGTACATTTTAAAAAATTTAAAATCAGTGCCTTTTTTTGAAAATAACTTTATGACTGTTTTTGTTGAACTATTTTATTGAGTATACACAGTTAAACATAACAGCTCTTTAATTTTAACTTTGGACTTGGAAATTTTTTGCAAGTTGTTTTGTCAGCTGTAAATAGTTTATTTTTTAACTCAGACCCTTCATGGCTAAAGGTGGTTGGAGTGGATTTTCTTAATGTCTAGTCTAGTAATTCATTCTATTTTAAAAGAGTATATCTCTTTTGTGTGTTTATCTGTTGATTTTGTTAATGTTTCATATTGTAAATGTGCTTATTTGATATGAATTTGGATGTGATAATGTGTATTTGTATATATTTCGAATGTAAATTTATTTAGTCTATGCATTTACAGTTGTCTTATAAATGTAAGAAAAAATTAAGATATTCAAATTAATAAATCATTTACATGCTTAACTGTGCTGAATATACTAACAATAGTATAATAACTCATTGCTGTTGAGTTGGAACCAGCGTATAGCTGAACCTCTTCAGTGGTTCGTTGCTGTTGAATTGGAACCAACTCATTGCTGAACTTTTTCAGATTCTGTAAATTGCAGCACAGAAGCCCATTTTTCTCCCCAAGGAGCAACTGATGGGTTCAATCTGTCTGCCTTAGGTTAACATTACAACTCCTTACCTACTGGGCCACCTGAGCTCACTAATAGTATAATATTGCATGTTTTATACTCTGTGGACAAGGCTATATTTTAAGCTCTTCATTTATATTAATTTATTTATTTTTATAACAACCCAATTTGTTGATATGTAGGCACTGTTGTTATTCCTGCTTTAGACTTGAGAAAACTCTGAGGCCTGGAAATAAAGAATCTTTCCTAGAGCTACACAGCTAGCTAGTAAAAAGCAGACCTAAGAGTCAATCCATGGCAACTTGGTTCTGATGTTTACCTTTTTAATCAATATTATGAAATAAGTGTTTGATATTGTGATTTCGTAGATGGAAAAAAATGTGAATAGAGGGGTACACTGAGCTAAGTTTCCAAAGTTATACAAATAATAATACTGTGACAACAAATTTTCAAATTCTGGATCTAATTCATTTCCAAACAGCAATTTATATATGTGTAAGAAGATCAGGCAAGTTTAATTGAAGATGGGTTTGAACTGGGCCTCAAATGCATTGCCATCAACATAAATGTAGGGAGCTCTGGTATCTGCTATTAAATATTGACTGGTCAGAATTAGCAAAAGAAGGTAAGAATTTAATGGCAGAAATAAAACTGGAAAAGGTAAATTAGGTTAGGGTTACTGGAAGATCTTGATAATAGAGTCAAAGAAATCAGATTTTACTTAGAATGACCCTGCTGAATCAGTCTGCCATATTTGTGTCAAATACCTTAATGGTTGCCCATCATGGACATTGTTTGGAGGAGCTTCCAGATTGGTTCAGGTTTGGAACAAGGAGTGACATCCACTTCCTAAACCAGATGCCTCTATAAATGTAAAGAAATGATGTTAAGTATAAAACAGGTCTCTTATTCGACTCAACGACACTTAACCACTGCTAAGTGAGACTAGTGTTGTGTTTTAGAGGAACATTCCTCTGTCTTGTACATCACTCTGTCAGTTTGCTGTACTGAGGTAATCTGAGTTTGCTGTGCCATTGGGGTGTGAAATGCCATAATGGTTTCCCAGTGTGGACAGTGTTTGGTGGAGCTCCCAGTTGTAAAACAGGTTTAGAAGCAGGAGTGGCATCCACTTCTTAAAACACATACCTATGGAAACTCTATGAACTTGGAGAAACAATGATAGTTATAGAAAGGCATTAGCAGTTATAGAAAAGACATAGAGTTGCTATGAGTTGTGCTCGACTCGATGGCAATCAACAACAACATAGCAACCCTATGAAGGGTTCTGTACCATCCTCGTGCTCTCTGATATACCTGAGCTCATTGTTACAGTCACTGTCAGTCCATCTTGTTGAAGGTATCCTTCTCTTTCTCTGACTTTTCACCTTTCCCAGGTGATATCTTTTTCCAAGGACTGGCCTCTATTAACAACATGCCCAGAGTATGTGAAATGAAGTTTCACCATCCTTGAGTCTAAGACTTGTTTGTTGTTTTGGCAGTCCATGGTCTAGTCAGTACTCTTCTCCAGTACCACAATTTAAAGGCATCAGTTTTTCTTTTGTCATCCTTGTTCATTGTCCAACTTTCAGATGCATAGGAAGCAATTAAAAATATCATGGTTGATTCAGGTGCACCTTAGTCTTTAAACTGACATCATTAAGGAAAAAACAAACAACTGACATCATTGCTCTTTAGCTATACTCTAGAGTCCTTTCCATTTCTGATCTGCATCAGTTTTTCTACAGCTGTACATCTGTAGCTAAGGAAATTGCTTCTCCCTAAAGAATTCTCTTTTAGAATGACTGATGGGTTCTAGCTACCAACCTTTTGGTTAGGTTAGCAGGCTAACATATAATGCACATGAGCTTCTTAGTTGTTAGTCAAAGTAATTTTTCATGCTTATCTTTCTAGATTTCAGAAGGCTTTTGGAGAGTATATGATTTTTCTCATGCAGTTTTCTTTCTAAATGTGAAAAATTAAAAAATTTTTAGTTAATACTTGCTGTCTTTTAAATTTTCCTTCTTTCTCATTCTCCTGCCGTATCACTTGGAAATGTTTTTTGTAGTGTGTCCTGTTAAGTTTATGGTATAAGACAAATCTGTTAGTGGACTGAATTTTATGAAATACTTCCACCAGTATGTCCTAAAATTGGCAATTTGATTGTCTTTGCTAAAAATATTTACCTGTTGGTATATTAGACAAAAAGAAAAGCTTATCTAATCTTTCATCCCATTCATTTAACTTAATAGATCATGTGCTACCAGTCTTTTACCATTTTATGTCAAGTGACATAAACTGTATTTGTTAATTCCTAACATAGTAAGGTTGGCTCAGTATAGAGCAGGGTTCAGAGCTGTTGTACATAGGGTCATGATGAGTAATAAGCTACTGGACAGCATGTAACAACAACAAAAGTGCATATCTTTTTTGTATTGAGAAAGTGCTTGATTTAATGATGTTTGACTTAGTGGTATAGGAAAACTATTTTCTTAGTAAAACTACATGTTTTCACATTGGCCTTTTTAAAAAAAAACTTACAGGAAATACTTTGGTTTCAAAAAATTCATCAGAAAGAAATGGAATAGTGAAGGCTTACGCTCTGCAGTATTTCTAAGTTGTAAAAAAATTGACAATTTAATAGTTAGCAAATTGACTAAATATTTTTACTTAAGCCTCCCAAATAATTGCAATACAGTTATAAAATAGTAGAAAGCAACAAAATATTCCCTCAAAAAAAATTAATATCCCACAAAAGCATTATGTTCCATTGATAGGGAAAAGCAATGTTTTATCACCTTTTTGTATTTTCCCTCTAGCACTAGAAAGTTTGGGCTTTGGCTCTTATATCAGTGAAGTAAAAGAAGTTTTACAAGAATGCAAGACAGTAGCATTAAAAAGAAGAAAGGCCAATTCTCGATTGGAAAACCTTGGCATCCCTGAAGAAGAATTATTGAGACAGCAGCAGGAATTATTTGCAAAGGTAAGTAATGTATTTTTAATTATTTTAATATCTGTCCTTTCCTGGTCTTTTTAGGTTTTTAATTTTTTTTATTTTATACTAATTTATTTTGTGTTTTTTAAACAAAATCCATACTGATTTCTGAAATAGCTCTCTAAATACACATGTATACTCAGAGAATTCTGTTTTCTGTGCCTGAATGTGTAATCTCATACTCAAATCTGTCAGTTTGATACATGAAATGGTAAAAAAACCTTAATCATTTTGTGATAAAGACATACAAGAAAAAGCTGATTAATTTGTGATTAAATTATATCTTTAAAACACTAATCCTAAAAAAATTATAAGGGTTTAAGGAGAAACTTAGATAAGGGTTTTTCCCTTTTTTTATCACATTTTTATTGATATAGTCATTCATATACATTGCGTTTAATGAATGTACATTATGTTTTATACAGTCTTTCATTTACATCGTATTTCATTTATGTATATTGTGGGTATTTTGCTAGTTATAGTCACTTTTAGTAAAGAGTCCAAGAAACACTAGAAAATATCTTAAAATGAATTGACATAGTAACTGTAACTAACAATGAATTTGAACATATCAGAGATTGTAAGGATGGTGCAGGATAGAGCAAGTTCAGAATTATTGTTCATTGGGTTGCTGTGGGTCTTAATTGGCCTGATGGCACCTTACAACAATAACATATATTGAGTTCTTAGCATATGTTAAGGGAGCTCTGGTGGCCTAGATGGTAAGGAGTTGTGCTACAGACACAAAAGGACAATGTTCAAATCCACCAGCTAGTCTGCAGGAGAAGGAAGGAAGACAGTTTCCTCCTGTGTGATTTTACAATATCTGAAAACAACTATGAATTGATTATTTACTTTTAATCCTTACATTCTAAGATAGGCCCTAAAGAGGAAGTCTTTAAGACAAACATGAGAGCATATGTAAACAACAGTATAGTCCATATAAATATTAGATAACAAAGAAGAAATTATTAAAAGCAGTTGATTCTCTGCATTGTGGATAACCTAAAGAATACTGAATTTAGCAAATCAAAGAAGGAATGTCTTCTGCTAGGTACTTTACAAATCTTACATGATATTTATGAGCTGTTACGGTTCTCATTTTACATTTAAGGAACTCACTCTCGGGGTAGAAAAATTGTGAGATCATTTGTTCTACAAATATTTACTGTTTTCTTTGCTGTCTGCCAGATTATTGTGCTAAGAGCTAGTCTGAAAGCACTGAACATGGTTCCTATCATAACAGAACCTAGTCCGTTGATAAAAACTTTATTTAAACAAAATAATTTAATTAGGAGAAAATGTTGTTGTTGATATGTGCTGTCAAGTTGCTTGCGACTCATAGCGAACCTATGCTGTAAACTCTGCTCTGTCCTGTGCCAGTCGCACTGTCTCTGACATTCCCATCCCAATTACTCCAGTCACTGAATCAATCCATCTCATAGACCGCCTTCCCGTCCTGCCCTGTCCCTCCACCTTCCCAAGCATAATGTCCCTCTGCAAGGACCTCTCCTTCCTTACAACATGTCCAAAGTATGTTAGACAAAGCCTCAAAATCCTTGCCTTCAAGGAGCCGCCCGGTTTAACCCTTTCCAGGATGAATCTCTTTGTTTTCCTAGCAGTCGATGGAACCCTCAATATTCTTTTCCAATTCTCCTTTTATCCAACTCTCTGATGCATAACAAGTGATAGCAAGGACCATGGCCTGTATCAGATGCACCTTAGTCTCCAGAGAGACACCATTGCTCTTTAGTACGTTGGAGAGGTCTCTAACAGCAGACTTTCCTATGGCAATGCATCTTTTAATTTCCTGGCTACTGGTGCCAAGAGTGTTGACTGTGGAGCCAAGCAAACTAAAGCTGTGAACAATCTCAATCTCTTCACCATCCATTCTGATGCTACCAATTGGTCCAGCGGTGAGAATCTTTGTCTTCTTAACCGTGAGCCTCAATGCATATTGGAGGCTGCAGTCCTTGACCCTCTCCAGCAAGTGCTTCAGGTCCTCCTCAGTTTCAGCAAGCAGGGTTGTGTCATCTGCATAACACAGATTGTTGATAGATCTTCCACCAATCTTGACCCCACATTTCTCCTCATAGAGCCCAGATTCCCAGATAATCTGTTCTGCATACAGATTGAAAAGGTATGGAGACAGGACACATCCCTGGTGTATGCTCTTCCCAATTTTGAACCATGCAGTGTTTCCTTGCTCTTTTCTGACAACTGCCTCTTGGTCCAAGTATAGTTTTTTCATTAGCATGGTCAAGTGTTCTGGGATTCCCATTCTTCTCAGAGTTAGCCACGGTATGTTATGATCCACACAGTCAAACGCCTTTGCATAGTTCCTCTGATGTTCCCTGCTTTCAGCTAAGATCCATCTAACATTAGCTACAATATCCCTAGGACCACGACCCCTTGTAAACCTAGCCTGGACTTCTGGCAGTTCTCTGCTGATGTTCTGTTCGGGTTGGTTTTGGATAATCTTCAGTAGAATCTTGCTTTCATGTGAAATCAGTGATACTATTCTATATTGACTCTTTTGGGTCACCTTTCTTTGTGATGGGAACAGCAGAAAATATTAGAGCCTAAATTCAGACTCACATTTCCAACTCTAAAATAAACGCTTTTTTTGCAATGCTCTAGCTACCATATTTTTCTACTTTAATTAATTTTGGGGCTTTTAAATGGAGCATGCTTTATTTTTAACTAGGGCAAAAAAATAAAAAAAAATTCAGTGGTTATAAACCACTCTCTGCCCTTATCATATGATTTTATTCCCCTTCTTTATTTTCTTTCTTTTTTACAGTGGCTGATGAGTAAAGATCTTGTAGTATTTCTTTGCTTTTATGAGGACATAGACCACCAAAATAAATTATGACCGTTTCCTACTGCTTTTTTTTTTTTTGCTAAAACCTTAAGTATTACAAAATTAAAAAAAAAAACAAACCAAAACCAACCCCAAAACAAGAAAAAGCCCAACCTCATTTCTGTTGAGTTGGAACTGACTCCTAGTTGACCCTTCAGTGGATTTGCAGAGGCTGTAAATTGCACAGGAAGGGATTGACAGTCTTTCTCCCTAGAGCTTCTAATGGATGAAATGAGCTAGCAGAGAAGTAAATATAACATATTTTTATCACTTTCATTTTTTTACTCTTTATTTTCAATTTAACCTAATATTTTAAATTTAACCTAATGATAACCTTATTTGAAGTTCTTTTACTACTACCAGCAAAATTTAGAAACCCATTAGTACATCACCAAGTTTAAGGTTAGTTGTTGTTGTTGTTGTTATTGTTATGTGCTATTGAGTGGCCTGTTACCCTGTGTACAGCAGCTCTGAAGCCTTCCCTGTCCTGTGCCAGTCTCATTAATTCCAACACACCTACCCCCATTGCCCTAGTTACTGTATCAATCCATCTCATCCAGGGTTTTCCTTTCCACTGCTGTACCACCCTTCTGAGCATGTCCAACTGTCAGATGCGTAGCAAGTAATTGCAAAGACCATGGAATGGCTTAGGCACCTTAATCTCCAGATTGACATTATTGCGCTACAGTACCTTGGAGAGTCCCTGACGATAAGTTTTCCCAGTGCAGTTCATGTTTTGATTTCTTGACTGCTGGTGTTGAGTGTTGATTGCGGAGCTGAGCAAGCTGTATTTGCTAACAGCCTCAATCTCTTCTCCATCTTTCAATTTGCTGCCAATTGGCCCATGGGCGAGAATCTTTGTCTTCCATATTTGAACTTCAATCCATATTGAACACTATAGTTTTTGACCCTCTAGAAGCAAGTGCTTCAGGTCCTTCTAATTTTCCGCAAGCAAGGTTGTGTCATCTGTATAACGTAGGTTGTTGATGAAATTTCCACCAATCCTGATGCCACATTCTTCCTCATAAATTATAAATGAGTCATTTAGCACACTGAATTGATTCTGATTTATTGTGACCCAATGTGAAATAATTAAAACCACCGGCTGTAGAGTTTCTAAGGCTGTAAATCTTTATTTGAGCATTTGTTAAATCATTCTTTTATAAATTTAACTGGTTGATTCAAACTGAAAACCTTTCAGTTAGCATCTGAGTGCTTAATCATTGTTCATTAGGATTCCTCTAGATTGTAGAAGTGAAAATCTTAAAACATAATGAAAATAACCCAAAAAAGAATATTTCTGTCTCTTTTACAACCTCATTTAGAAGAATATTTGTGATAGGTTGGGTACAATGCAAGGTAGGACAAAAGAAATTAGAGTAACTGTCATTAAAGTTCAATTGGAACAATTATTAATTGAAATTCACCACTCGTGCATCTGTTTGGTATGCTTAAGTGGCTTACATGTTGCTATGATACTGAAAACTTACCATTGGTATTTCAAATAGCAGGGCTATCCATAGTAGATAGATTTCAGTGGAGCTTCCAGATGAAGACAGATCAGGAAGAAGATTGGCAATCTAATTGTTTAAAAAATATTAGCCAATGATAACTTTACTTTGAATAGCAACAGAATATTGTCTGATAGATTGCTAAAGATGAACTTCTCAGTTTGGAAAGCACTCAGAGTACCAAAAAGAAATGCCTCTTCAAAGTAGAATTGACCTTAACGATGTTAACAGTAAACCATTCAGAACCTTCATTTGCTGATGTGGGGCCACTCAAAATGAGAAGGAACGTCTGCAGACATTTGTTAGTAGTTGGAATATGGAACGTGGGAAATAATGAATCTAAGAAAATTAGAGGTTTTCAGAGATCTAACAGGATATATTAGGATTAATATCCTGGGCATTGGTGAACTAAAATGAACTGATGTCAGCTATTCTGAATTATACTGGTCTGCTGTCTTAGGAATGCTGACTTGAGGAATGGCATCATAGTCATCATCACAAAGAACATTTTAGGACCTGTCGAGAAATAGATGAGAAACCTCTACTCTGACCAGGAAGCAGCCCTCAGAATATAGCAGGGAAACACTAGAATTGTTCAGAATCAGGAAGGGAGT